TTTCTTTTCAAGTAAATAAACGTGGTTGTCACTTGTTAGGTTTACGTTTGATAATTGAATAATGTAATATTTTTAATACACATCAATTTAATTAAATTAATCAAATTTACAGGTAGCCAAATTTGACTAAGACCATTTGGAAGCCAATAAGATTGCCTTGAGGCTGTATATGCCAAAATTATAAAGCAATATGACAGATAATATTACTATAATCATATCAAGGGAGTAAATTATTGCTTGAGTCCAATAATGTTGTGAGGGTGGCTGCACGCATGCTTGGTTATATGGCATAATAATCTGCTAGCAAGTACATCTGAACTGAGAGATCTGTGTGAAGAAGCCTTTCCTCAAGCATCATCTCTAGTATTTTGGAGAAAACACTAGCTATTTAAGCAAGGTGCGTTTTCTTCTTTAATTTACCTATTTTACAATTGATTTATGTCTTGCTTACAAAAATGATCTGCATATGACAATCCTTTTTCTTTGTTTGGTATATACTAATTTCAAAGTGAGGTCCAAATGCTCAGTAAACTATAATTGGACTAAATGTGGAATTGAGTTTTGTGTTCTATTATGCAGATCATATCATTTGGCACCATCATATTTTGCAACCTAGATTCTCAATAAAAAAAACTCTTGTATTGAAGAAACAATAGTTTCAAGCCCGCAGGTAAAATTTTTTTTTTGTTTAATTTCTTGTATATTTTCTTCACATTCATATTTTGTACACTAGTTTTAGTATATAACTTATGGAAAATAATTTGAATACTCTTCAATTTGATACATATGTCAATATTAACTGGATCAATTATTAAAATATAATATAGATATAATCAGTTCAACTAATTCCTTCTTATTGTTACATAATTATATTTTTAAATTTTTTTTGTTTCTTTTTTATTTCTTTGAATATTGAAAATTTTGGGGGAAGGGATGGGGATTTTCAAGAAGGTAGTGGGAGTTGAACTCTCAACCCCTAAGCTTTAATTTCCAACTCAATTTAATTTAACATATATAGACTTTGTATATTCATACTTTTCACATACATTTTTCATGTATCAATTTTTTTTAAAATGTAAAATTATTATTTTTAATTACTTTTTATATATTTTTATTAATTTTAATTATATTTTATATATTTTTGAGATATTATAAGACAATAAAACCTATGGCTATAGTAGAACAAAATACAATAATGATAAAAGAAGTCATAGTTTATTTAAAGTCAATTTAAGATGTCGTGCTCTTCAGTTTTTTTATTTTTATTTTTATTTTTATAAATTTTGCAATTCTGAACAAAAATTATTAGTAAGATTATAGAGAAAAATAATTTAATACTATTAAACAAATTCATATTTTAATTATCAGTGATAAAACTTGTTTTAAATGAATTTGTAATTTTTAGTTTTTAATTTTGATCTTCAATAATTACCAAATTTATAAAAACCAAGTACTTAAATTAGTCATTCATGGTACTTCCACCATTAATTACCCACTGGATTTGTTTTTCTCCTAAATAATGTTACTCTTATCCTTGTTTCATAGTTTTAAGGCACAATTAGCTCATATCCAACAATTTCATACATGCAGGAACTCTCTAATGGATGTCATAAAACCAGTCATGGATATTGTGAAGGATGTTGTACTTATATATAGTTAAGAAATATGTCAAGTATCAGACATGTCACAAAGATTATGTCGATAAATTCAAAGAAATGCAAACAAAGTCGAAGCGCCGACGGAAAGATGTTGCTGAAGAACTACTTACTCAGCTTTTGCAGTCTGGAAAGATTCCAAAGCAGGAAGTTGAAGCTTGGCTAAAGGAAGTAGACCAAGAAACTACAGAAAAAGTGGTTGAAGATCTAATTTGCAAAGGGGGCTGTTTCACATATATTTGCTCCTCAAGAAAGCTCGTAAAAGGACTCAATCACTGAATGAAGGAATATTTAAGCAAGGAGAAAAATACACTAATGCTGGTGAGAGTTTGGTCGTAGATGGTCATTCAATTGAGTATTGTGCAACTGTATTCGAAGAAAAGTAAGAGAAGCTGAAGCACCAAAAGGAAAACATTGAAGAAAATTTGAAGACTCAATGTATGCAACTTGGAAAGATTTCAAGGAAGTTAAAAGAGTGGTTGGGGAAAGTAGGCCAACAAATTGCCATAAAGGTTGAAGAACTAATCAGCCAAGGGGAATGTTCCTCATCAACCAACCTCAAGAAAAACATAGAAGAATTGAAGCAAATACTTGAGGAAGGAAAAGAAATCAGTAATGC